TAGCTTCCCTACTGTCTGATGGATGCTTAGCAAAAAATTTAAAAAATTAAAAAAATAAATAAATAAAGTCTGGCATGGTGGCTCTCAAGAGACAGGTAGGTACTTAGGAAGCAGAGGTAAGCAGATTTCTCTGAGTTCAAGGCTAGCCTGGTCTACATGACAAGTTCCAGCCCAGTTGGGGCTACATAGTGAGACCCTGTCCCAAACATCCCTTCCCAAATTAATATCAATAACCAAATGAAATGGCAGATAGAAAGAACAGTGGGGGGAATGTGGAGGTACTGCCTAATGGTGGCATTCAATACATTCACAGTGTTGTTCAACCATCACTACTTTTCCAAGTGCTTTCACCAGCAGAGCAGAAATTCTGACTATTAAGCAATAACCCCTTGCTGACCCTTCTACAGACAAGTTTTGAAGGTCATAACTACTTGGAGAAGTGCTGCTAGTGCCTAGTGAGTGGGGACAGAGATGCTCAGTGTCTCAGGGAACAGGACAGTCCTCTCGGGACAAAGAACCATCCACTCCAAATGCCAATAGTGGCAAGGTTGAGAAACCCTGTCAGGTTGATGTGGGCATCTGGAACAGGAACTGATCCCACAGCACAGAATCTATCGTAACACAGGGGAGGATTGAGCAAGCTCAGGAGAGTTCAGTCCTTCAGAACATCCTCATACATGCCAGGGGCCTCCAGCAGATTCCTCAGCTACTAGTCCTCCTGGCTGGACTCTTCCCCGTGCCACCACTAACACTCTGGTCATCAAAAGGATGTCCAAAGGTGTGGTAACCACAAAAGTGGCCTCTTTGGAACAAAAGCATATAAGGAACGGCAGCTGGAAGGAACAACAAGTGTGAGAGGTGTGAAATCTCCCAGCAGGATGAGCTTGGCCTATGAACTCCCACCCAGAAGCTGGGAATATCTGGGCACCATAGTGTCTTACTGCACCGGAGGCTGAGGCAGGAGGATCTCAAGCTCAAGGCCAGACTGGGTTACACATCAAAAACATCTCAAAAGAAGGGGCAGGGGGAGAAGAACAAGGAGCACCCTGGGACAGCTGGACAAGCACATCAGAAGCACCTGACCAGGAACACTTGCAGACGGGGCCACACCGCCTCCAAGTCCTAGGTGGCAGAAGGAATTACCTAGAGCACTTAGTTTTTCCTTCCTATCTCTCCATTCCCCCTCCCCAAAAAGCACGAGGCTTAACGAACAAAGAGCATGACAGGCCTCCACAAAAAAACACTGTACCTACTCAGTATCAACTGACCGGAGGGATTCTATGTAGTCAGAGAGCCCCTGGGAAAACCCATCCCAGAGCCATCCACTCAGAAAGATAATCCCGACACTTGGCAAACACCCCAGACATCCTATGCTGTATGCTGGATCATAGAAGCTGGTCTCTAGGCTCTTTCCAGACCCACCACAGAGAACGCAGGCTGGTGCACAGATCTCCTCACTGAGGGCAAATAAAGCTGCGGAGAGAGAGCAGGCAGCTAGGTCTGACCCCACTCCAGTGCAGCCTGGTCCTCACAACATGGGACCCTCCAAGAGGAAGTCAAATTTCCTTCATTCACCCACCAGGATTTCTAAACTTGTTTCAGATACTTGAAATACTTGTTTGGGTCCATCTTGCCCAAGACAGGCCCAAGACAGGCCAAACACATGATAATTTATAAAATCCAAACACCAGGGAACCTATGTTGTCTTGAGCCACCTTCCCACTTGAAGGTCTCTGCTACTTTGATTCCTCCTCCCCTTAAAACAGGCTAGTCTTCTTTTCACAATTACGCAAACAAACAAACATTTATTCATGTGTATCATGCTCACAGCTCCACTGCTCACAAGTGGAGGTCAAGCTGTCAGGGCTGGAGGCAGCTCCTATACCTGCTAGAGATTTCCTCTGCCCTAACCACCATCTTCTCAAACAAGTAGCCCTTGCTATCATGACTATTTTCCTGCCCTTAAGATATACAACGTGGAAATTCAAAGCCTAAATCTTTAGGAAACTGTTTAAAACCTTCAGCCTTCTGCGAAGCAGGGAGGCTGTGGAGAATACTGGCATGGTGGCACATCCCAGGCCTCCAGAAGCTGAGGGAGGAAGATAGAGGGTTCAGTGAAAAACCAACCAAGCAAGCACAGTCGGGCCCTGGAGCCAAGCAGACTCAGGCTGAACTCAGCTCTGCCGCACAATGGTTGACAAGCTGCTTGACTTAAATGTGCCTGCTGTGTCCTTAAATGCAGCCTCCGCTGGCCACTGGGAGGACTGGGAGGTACTCTGGGTAAAGAACTCCATTGGAGCCCCAAACATTTGCCATCACCATACAGATCAGACATCTGAAAACATGTGATATATGCACTGTCACAGTCCTCCCTGTCACAGGTAATGCACTTCAAAGGACATGGCCAGAGTGACACAGCCACTCCCTAATTTGACAGCCTGCAAATTAGCCTTCTAATCCCTCTCAGTACCCACAGTGTTCTTCCTCCTTCGGACAGGACATCTCCCACAGGACACAAGCACAGCACTGTAGTTAGGGGGGTCCTGGCTCCTTCCACCATTCCCTAGAGGCAACCTAGCTTCTCCAGGCTTCTGTTTATCCTCTATAAAATGGATAGAATAATCACAAGTATTTCAAGATTACTGGAACTACTCTCTGGCAAAGAGAAAACAATTTTTTGTTTGTTTGTTTGTTTTGAGACAAGGCCTTGCTATGTAGCTTTCATTGGCCTGGAACTTGCAATGTAGACCAAGCGAGGCTCAAATTCATAGAAATCTGCCTGCCTCTGTCTGCTGGAATCAAAGAGGTGAGTAAATAATTTTTATTTTAAGCAAGAGATGGTCCATGAACTTCAAATTCATAGTGCCTCAAATGAACTCTAACTCTTAGCTGCAACACTCACTTGCCACTTTATTTTCCTTCCTGTATTCCAGTCAAGTGCTGCCTGCACAGGCTAACAAGCTGCTCAGCCTCAGCCAGCTTGGTGGCATACGCCTTTAATCCCAGCACTTGTAGGCAGAGGCTGGCTGATCTCTATGAGAATGGGGAGTAAGAAATGTCAATCTCCTCATTTGTTTTTTTTTTTTTCCTTGCCCCCTTTGGGTGCGCTGGAACCCAGAACCTCAAATATGATAAGGTAAGTGCTCTATCCCTGAGCTACACCTCCGGCCTTCCGTCTTCCTCCCTGTCCATATGCTTCCTCTCTTGCCTTTCCTCTCCAGTTCAACATTTGAGCAACCCTGCCTAAAATCGTCTTCCTGCCTACCCTGGCTTAATACAGACATTTTCTTCTTACAAAGACATCTCTGGCCTTCTTGCAACCTCGGCCCTCGACAACCTAACTCCTTCATGTCAAAATGACTGCTAGGGACACTAATCTGTCATCTTTCCCACCTTTAGTCTGGTCTCTATCCTCTCCTTAGGCTACTTCCACCCTTCCTTCTGGATCCAACTAAGTCACCACCGCTCCAGACTTTCTTCCAACCCCTTCCTCACTACCTGTAGCAATCTTCCCATCCCCCGCCCCTTACAAACTAAGATCTTCCCCCGTGGCCCCAGCCCTGGCAGAGAGACAACTGGGAGGCTCTGTGTAAGCATGCAATTTGGCATATATTCTAAAAATGCTTATTGGATTTAAAGTAACATAGCATCATTCTCAGTAACAAAGCCCACCTTCCACTTACATTATCAACGAGAGGGTGTAATGGAATAGGTACAGAGGAAAGCAGGAGGCCCTGCCCAGGAATGCTTTTCAGATTGCCCAAAAGATAGGGAAGTCTCTTCAGCAGCCATGATCCCTTTTAAGGCAAGGGATCCCTTCTGACCTCTAGCCCCAGTACCCTTCACCCAAGCTGAGCAAAAAGGTAAGAGCAACCCACATCTCTGCCCTTCCTGGAAACCAGTTCTTTCCTTTTCAAGTTGCCCCAGTGCTCTGGTTCTCCTCCTAGAGGGGAGCTTTGGGCATGCACACTTAGGCTACAATCTGCCTATTCCAAAAGCTTTATAAGCTTTGTGCTGAACCCACAAACAACTAAAATGTTCTCAGCATCAAACGGAACCTCAGCCCACCCAAAGCTCCACAGGACTGACAGTAAACTAGCCACAGCAAAGCCTAGGTCACCTACAGCCCTGCCATTCAGGTCAAGAACACTGGCTTAGCACTAGGAAGGCAGAGGCAGTACAACTGCCTGGAACTGAGGCTAGCTTGAGCTACAAAGTGAGTTCCAGGTAGGCCTGGGCTACAGAGACCTTGTCTTGAAGAGAGAAAAACAAAACAAAACAACAACAACAAAAAGAACACAAGCTAGCTCCTAGAGTTGGCAGTTTCAACCTGATCCTCACCCTAACATACAGCAGCAGTAACCAGGCCTCCCGAGTCTTGACACGGTCTGAGGCTTTGCCTGTCCTGTTCCTCGCACAGCCATAGAGTCTGTGGCTTGAGCAGTGTTCACCAGCATGCAAACTTGTAGCTACACTCTCCCAAGTGATCCCACTGCTGTGGTTTCACTATGGCAGGGCCGGTTCTTTAACCCACCACAGCCACCACACCAGGCCACTCAGGCAGTGCGACTCCACCAGCTAAGATAAAACAACAACAAAACATTGTAAACAGTGGCTCACCCAAGGCAGACGTATTTGCATTTTGGCTCAAGGCTACCTGGGCGTTAAAAACATCTCCCACCAGACAGACTCGAAGAAAGGGCAGGAATTGAACTGACTGTGTATCTCTCATCAAAACGTGTGTAAGTGGCAGTAACCGATTCCCAGCGGTCTCCGGGTACCATCTTTTGGGTAAAGCGACTCTTTGGAGATCTAGTGTCCGCTAACGTCCCCGGAATTCTGCAATCCACTACGGTCTCAACAGCCGCCCTTCTCCAGGGACACGAATATTAGGAGCTGGAACTACTCCAATTTCGGAAGGCCGGAGCTCCTCCCTATCCCGCCAGCGTGTTCGGGGATCCGGAGTTGAGCTGCAGTGTAGGGTAAGGGGGGCCGCTCACCTCTCGGGCTGAGCGCAGCTGCTGCCGCAGCGCATCCTTGCAGCCGTACGGACCGCCGGCGCCCGCGCCGCGGGGCTGGAAATGCGCCTCGACGCGCGTGGCACCGCGGTAGGCGCCCCGGTAGAAAGCCGGCCAGCCGAGCTCCAGCGCGGGCGGCTCCAGGTCCGACTGCTCGGGAAAGTAGGTGCCCGACGAGCAGTCCTGAGAGGAGCCGAACGAGTCCTCGGCCGCCGCCGCCGCGCCGTCCTCGCCCGGCCGCTCGGCGGCGCCCAGAACCGCTCGCACCTCGTCGGCGTTGAGGAAGCGGCCCAGCCGCTCCCGCCGCAGGAAGGCGGCCCAGGCGTCGGGGCCGCCGTCCAGCAGCTGCTCGAGAGCCAGGCGCCGCGCCTCGCTGAACAGCTCCGCCGGGTTGGGCGGTCCGCACGGCGACAGACAAGCCGCGGGGAGCTCGTCCAACAGCTCGCAGCGAGCAGCCATCGCGGCCCCCAGAAGCGGTCCACTGGACTGCGGTGGTCGGCCTGAGCCTTTTATAGGCACCTTTGAATCAAACCAGCCCGCGCTATTGGCTCGCCGCCCGCCCAGGCCCTCCCATTGGCTCTCTGTCTTCCAGGCGCCTCTGAGGCCCCGCCCCCTCCCTCATTGCTATTGGTTGCTCTCTGAGCCCGGACTCGCCCACCCTCTGCTCTCGCTGCCTGGTGGCCAAACGGAATTTAAATCTGAGTTTACCCCGCCCTAGCGTCCCCAGAACTGTCCCAGCAAGGAACACAGCCCAGCGCTGTCCCAGGGCGCCCCCTACCTGCTACCCCACAAACGTAGCGCTCCAAGGCCAGGACTAGGAGTGGGACTTGCTCCTGGACTTTCATGTTTAGGTGTGATCAACCTCATTGTCATTCCACCCTGCATCTATCTAATCATGTACTTATTTAAAACAAAAAGGAGACTGGAGAGATGTTTCAGCAGTTAAGAGCACTTCCAGAGGATCTGAATTTGGCTCTTGTCTCACTTGGTGGCTCCTAACTGCCTCTAATGGTTCCAGGGGATTCAGCGCCCTTTTAGGTATCCGCGGGTACCGTATGCACACGCGATAAATAAACACATTCAACAAACAAAAATAAATAGACTTTTTTTTCCCCCCAATGGTGCAAAGCCCTCTAGCACGTGGGAGGCTGGGGCAAGAGGATCAAAGCCATCTTGTGCTGCCTAGCAAATTCAAGCCCATCCTAAGCTACAGAAGACTTTGGGAACATATTATCTATATACATATGCGCGCACACACACACACACATATATATGCACACATACATGGATATACTATATACTGTCTATATACTGTGTACTAGAAGTATATATCTCTATATACTATATATATACTAGAAGTATATATCCCTATATCCCTATATTCTAGATATAGTACATATAGTAAATGCCTATATAGTGCCTATACAGTATATCTAATATATTATCTACTATGTTATACATATACTTTATGTTCTATATATAGAATATATACAGTATACATAATAGACACATCTTATATGCACTGTGAAAATCTATATACTAATCCACTGTGGTACCCACTCCTTCACTGATGGCCTTGTTTCTCTCTCTCACTTGATATTTTTTTTTGCCCAGCAACACCTCAATGATATTTAAACTCCACCCTCTACTTGCACTCAGACAACCATAGAGAGATAGAGGAGGGGGGGGGGGGAAATGGGACCATGTTTGTTGGCTGACTGTACTTCACATTCATGATCTGAAGTTTGTCTTTAAAATTGGCTGCTAATACAGTTATATGCTAACTAAAAATAATTAAAAAGAAAAATGCCTGTTGGCCTGCATTTCTATCCTTCATGATACTTTTTTTCTGTGTCCTTTCTCTTCTACTTTACAGAGAAAATATGTTCATAGGACACAAACAGTCATACAAGAATGTTCACAGGTGATCATGTCTGTCTTCTGTTCGCATGGGTAGGCTGTGCCAGAGCCTGGCCAACTTTCTGCCGGGCAATAGCTCCCTGCCTTTCTATCACTACTTTGTAGATCTCCAGCAATTCCTTCCTCTCTCCCACGCTGTCAGTTTTCTGGTTAAAATAATGCTTACTTTGAGACAAGGTTTCACTTTGCTATCTAGGCAGGACTTGAACTCTTGATCTTCCTACCTCGGCCTCCCAAGAACTGGGACTACAGAGGACTACCACCATGCTCTCCTTAATATTGTCCATCTTTTTAAAATACATTTTAAAAAGATGTGGGGGCAGGGAGGTATGTACATATGAGGACAGGTGTCTCTGGAGATCAGAGTCATCAAATCCCTCCTACCCCGACCCAAAGCTGAAGTTCCATGTGTTTGCAAGCCACACAACAAGGGTATTGGGAAGCCAACTTGAGTCCTCTGCAAAAGCAATATAGACTCTTAACCACTGAGCCCTCTCTCTAGTCCCATATACTGTTCATCTTGAAATAACCATTTCATGGCCGTAGATCCCCCTACCTCTTCACTTCTGCAGCCTGGACCCTCTAAGTGGCCTGCACTTGATGCCTCATGGTTCTTTCCTCGACCCTCTCTAAGCAGATTCATGCCACAACTGCTGTGCCAGAACCTCTGGTTGGGGTCACCATGAGTTCCACCGTGACAAGTCCAGCAGACAACTTTGTGCCAATAAAGCATATGTACTACTATAAAGCACCACAAAACGTGATCTTGGTCTTCTGAGGCAGGGTTTCCTGTAGCCTGGGCTGGCCCCGAACTCATCTTGTAGCCGAGGATGACCTTGAATTCCTAATTCCCTGCCTCCACCTCAGTAAGCTTAAAACAGATAAGTACTGCTGTTAGGATGCATCTCCCTCTCTGCATCCTTTCCTGGTCCCAGCCTACTCAGGGAAGTTATTCAAGCCCAGGGGTAGAAGCTTCACTGTGTCCCCACTCTGGCATCCAGTCTCCAAAAGGCTACAAGAGAGATTCTTCCTCATTCAGGATACCAGTTCTTGCATGTAATAAGGGCAGGAGCCATGGCCTGGGGGCTGTACAACCACTGTTTGTCTATTTCCTGGGTTAAAAGTGAGAATAATCAGAGCTTTACCTATGGTCCTATTGAATGAGGTAGAGTATTGTTCTCTGCTACAAGCTAAGTTAGAAAGCCCAGAGGGACCATGGGAAGGCCCAGGACAAGCCAGTGTGTTCCGAGTATGGAGCAGAGGAGGGGCCACCCTGATTTTATATAAGTGTCATCAATCAAACTGCAAAAATCAAACTGCTGTAGGGCGTCATGTGATTTCAAAGGGAATATCTGACGGGATAAAGCCCACACCTATCTTTTTCTTTACATTCAAAAGTTTTCACTTCAGCTCCACCTATGAATTCCTAAAGCTCCCCCTGCCCTGGGAGACTCCTGGCAGAGACTTCTGGGTACAGGCAGGTCTAGGAGCCTCCCTGGCACCGTCTCTTGTAGAACTCAAGTCAGTCCCATGCAGGTTTAAGTGCACAGGAATAAGCACAGTCAGACCAACAGGTGTTATTAAAAGGAATTTAATAATCTTAATTAAAAATCCATAACAGCGAATTCCGTCACAGGCCTTGGCAGCTGGAAGTAACTCCAGGGACACGGGCTCCTTGGGGATAAGGTCAGACCCCATCTTGGAGGCGTGGAGCTACTTCAGTACAATATCAAAGATCCATGAGAATTTCTTTTTAAAAAAAGTTTTAAATATATTAGACTCTTTTGATTGCCATTTTTTACACAAAGCTGCTGATACAGTATACAGAGTTTTAACTTTTTTCACATAAAATACATTTTTTTTTCTTAAGTGTTCTCTGTACATCAGTGGCTTCTGGTCTGGTGATTTATTGCGGAGGGCTGGGTGTCTGCAGACTTCTCCCGGTGTGCAGAACCAGGCCCCGCACTTGAGGTGGCCCTTGAAGTGCCCACGAAAAGCAGGCCCTCTGGCTAACAAGGGACTCCTGTGGAGGAAAAGTCGAGGGCGTTCTAGGGAAGTGGGCGGGTCACTTCGGTGCAGTGTGACCTTGGCCATGTGACCGTTGGCTTTTCTGTGCCCTGGGGAAGGGGCTACAGATAGCGAGAGCTCGGACAATCCTTCTGACATCATGTAAGGATGGCCCCTCTGGAAGTTATCCCGGTGACCCGCTTTGGGACAGCAGGTGGGAGAGAAAGCCCAGGATCAAGGAGTATTGGACACTAAGAACCGAGAGTCTCACACTGTTACAAAACTAGGCTGTAGTAGGCCAACCCAAAGGCCATATTTTATTTTTATTTATTTGAGTGTTTTTTTTTGTTGTTGTTGTTGTTGTTTTGTTTTGCTTTTGTTTTTGTTTGAGACAGAGTTTCTCTGTGTAGTCCTGGCTGGCCTGGAACTCACTCTGTAGTCCAGGCTGGCCTTAAACTCAGAGATATATCACATGCCTCTGCCTCCCTGGTGCTGGGAATAAAGGTATCTGCCACTACACCCGGATGAGGGCCACCCTCTGGCAATCTTTCCAAGCATCTAAAATTTGATCAAACAATGCAGAGAAGATTCGTTAATACTGTATATTTGATAAAGAATTATATCCCCCAAAGTCTTCAGTAGACCTGGACTTAGGATTCATTCCAATTCCCTGAGCTACTGGCCAGAAAGTCACAATCTGGTGATAGCTACCAATTTCTAATTGTTAGGGAGCATAAAATGGGTGCAAGGACCACAGCTCACAGGAAACTGTGGGGCACCTGGTTTGGAAATAGATGTCTTCAGTTTGCCAAAGATGGCTACCAAGACACAGGTTCCTGGTAGAAGGGAGGCATCTGGTAACCTTGCCAGGCTTCAGCCTTGCCCCTGTATCCACACCTTCCAGGGAGAGAGGCTGACACACAAGGAAATGTTTGATATGAAGAGCAGGAGTTCACCCTCCCAATATTCATTGGTGGGGTAGGGGGGAAAATGGTATAGTTCATGAGCGAAAATGAGCAGGAGACGACTGTAAATGCTAGGGGCACATTTGGCAACAAATTTCAGACTTCTGATTCTTCCAGGCACTGATCGCAGACTGCTGTTATATTGTTCTCCAGGGATGCTGGCTTGAAGGCTACCTCTGAGGGCTCTAAATGGACTGGTGTGGTGTCTGCCTGGGGCCTGAGATCTAGTATCTGCACTTAGAGGCAAATGTTATCTAGGTGTGGCCATAATGCTGTGTCCCAGCTAGAGATTCACACTCAGAACTGCAGGAGCTGCAAAGCACTGGGGCGTTGGTCTGGGATGCAGGCACCCTGATTAAAACAATGGATGAGTCTGAGGATGCCCACTGTCCTCAAGGGATCAAAGTCTTCAATGCTTAGCTGGACTGTTATCTGCAGAAACTAACATCAGTTTGGGGGTGTCTCAGCACCTCAGTAGGTGACATGGGTGAGTGAGTGGGTGGCCCTGGCTCATGTACTGGAGGTTATTCCTCATCATGGCTCTCAATATTCCAAAGAGTCACAGGG